GTGTACCTGTCTGCAGGTGAGTGTGTGTGTGCCTGTCCCCAGGTGAGTGTGTGTGTACCTGTCTGCAGGTGAGTGTGTGTGTGCCTGTCCCCAGGTGAGTGTGTGTGTACCTGTCCCCAGGTGAGTGTGTGTGTGCCTGTCCCCAGGTGAGTGTGTGTGTACCTGTCCCCCAGGTGAGTGTGTGTGTACCTGTCCCCCAGGTGAGTGTGCGTGTACCTGTCCCCCAAGTGACTGTGTGTGTACCTGTCCCCAGGTGAGTGTGTGTGTACCTGTCCCCCAGGTGAGTGTGTGTGTACCTGTCCCCCAAGTGACTGTGTGTGTACCTGTCCCCAGGTGAGTGTGTGTGTACCTGTCCCCAGGTGAGTGTGTGTGTACCTGTCCCCCAAGTGACTGTGTGTGTACCTGTCCCCAGGTGAGTGTGTGTGTACCTGTCCCCCAGGTGAGTGTGTGCGTGCCTGTCCCCCAGGTGAGTGTGTGTGTACCTGTCCCCCAGGTGAGTGTGTGTGTGCCTGTCCCCAGGTGAGTGTGTGTGTACCTGACCCCCAGGTGAGTGTGTGTGTACCTGTCCCCCAGGTGAGTGTGTGTGTACCTGTCCCCAGGTGAGTGTGTGTGTGCCTGTCCCCCAGGTGAGTGTGTGTGTGCCTGTCCCCCAGGTGAGTGTGCGTGTACCTGTCCCCCAGGTGAGTGTGTGTGTGCCTGTCCCCCAGGTGAGTGAGCATGTGCCTGTCCCCAGATGAGTGTGCGTGTACCTGTCCCCAGATGAGTGAGCATGTGCCTGTCCCCAGGTAACTGTGTGTGTACCTGTCCCCCAGGTGAGTGTGTGTGTGCCTGTCCCCAGATGAGTGAGCATGTGCCTGTCCCCCAGGTAACTGTGTGTGTACCTGTCCCCAGGTGAGTGTGTGTGTACCTGTCCCCCAGGGGAGTGTGCGTGTACCTGTCCCCAGATGAGTGAGCATGTGCCTGTCCCCCAGGTGACTGCGTGTGTACCTGTCCCCAGATGAGTGTGCGTGTACCTGTCCCCAGATGAGTGAGCATGTGCCTGTCCCCCAGGTAACTGTGTGTGTACCTGTCCCCAGGGGAGTGTGTGTGTACCTGTCCCCCAGGTGACTGTGTGTGTACCTGTCCCCCAGGTGAGTGTGCGTGTACCTGTCCCCAGGAGGTATAAGGTTCTGCCAGTTTCCTGAGTGTGGCCACACCCTCTTCCACCTGCCCTTTCTCTGGCTCCACATAGTGTAGATTCTGCGGGGGGGTCGTGTAGAGAGACAGCTGGAGAACAGAGATGCTACAGTTACTGCACAAGCACTCTTACACAGGGATGAACGATTTATCAGCAGACGATTTATTGTTAGTCTAGATTTTCAAGACCAACAATCAAAATAATCAATTAAAGCTGAAGATTCCAAACTCAGGTAGTGTGTTTACAGTTTTAATTAACCTTCATGAACTTCATATGTGAATTCTGAACTGAATTAATGTCAATAATTTTTGTGCCATCACAGGCCCACAATGGACCACCGGACCCCCTCTGTATTGGCAAATGTTACTTTGGGGCCCACATGTGGTTGAAAAACCCTGGCCTGGAGTGCATTACCATACACTCTGTAAAAAAATGGTTCTTCAAGGGTTCTTTGGTAAAGGGAATGGTTCTATATAGCACTCATGGTTCTATATAGAACCATTTTCATGCTTAAATGCTTCTTTGCATGGTGCAATGGTTCTTCAGATTAATGGGGAATGTGTTGTACATGGTGCATTATAGAACCTTCTTGAAAATGGTTTTTCTATGTAGCACCAAAAAGTGTTCTTCTATTGTTGCAATGTCACCCTTTCTGGTGCTATATACACTACACTGCCAAAAGTGTTCCCTCGTCTGCCTTCACACGCATATGAAGTTGAGTGACATCCCATTCTTAATCCACAGGGTTTAATAAGATGTTGGCCCACCCTTTGCAGCTATAACAGCTTCAACTCTTCTGGGAATGCTTTCCACAAGGGTTAGGAGTGTTTTTGGGAATTTTTGACCATTCTACCAGAAGCGCATTTGTGAGGTCAGACACTGATGTTGGACGAGAAGGCCCAGCTCGCAGTCTCCACTCTAATTCATCCCAAAGGTGTTCTATCAGGTTGAGGTCAGGACTCTGTGCAGGCCAGTCAAGTTCTTCCACACCAAACTCGCTCATTCATGTCTTTATGGAGCTGCTTTGTGCAGCAGTCATGTTGGAACAGGAAGGGACCGTCCCCAAACTGTTCCCACAAAGTTGGGAGCATGAAATTGTCCAAAATCTCTTGGTGCTGAAGCATTAAGAGTTCCTTTCACTGGAACTAAGGGGCCGAGCCCAACTCCTGAAAAACAGCCCCACACCATAATCCTCCTCCACCAAACTTTACACTCGGCACAATGCAGTCAGACAAGTACCGTCTCCTGGCAACCGCCAAACCCAGACTCGTCCATCGGATTGCACTATGCGCCTCAGCATCCGCTGACCCCGCTCTGTCATTTTACGTGGCCGACCACTTCGTGGCTGAGTTGCTGTCGTTCCCAATCGCTTCCACTTTGTTATAATACCACTGACAGTTGACTGTGGAATATTTAGTAGTGAGGAAGTTTCACGACTGGACTTGTTGCACAGGTGGCATCCGATCACGGTACCACGCTGGAGTTCACTGAGCTCCTGAGAGCCCCATTCTTTCACTAATGTCTGTAGAAGCAGTCTGCAGGCCTAGGTGCTCGGTTTTATACACCTGTGGCCATGGAAGTGATTGGAACACCTGAATTCAATGACTTGGATGGGTGAGTGAATACTTTTGGCAGTATAGTGTACAACACATTCTCCATTGATCTGAAGAACCATTTCACCAGGCAGAGAACCATTTAAGCATGCAATGGTTCTATATAGAACTCATGGCTCTAAACAGAACCATTCCCTTTACTAAAGAACCCTGGAAGAACCATCTTTTTTAAGAGTGTAACTTAAACAGTAGCAGCCACCTGTAAGACTGAGTCTAGTCCGTGTTTGTGAGTGACAGTGAGTCACATAATCAAGTCTGTTTTTGATGAAGGAGAAAACTGATTTATCCGTTTTAAAGATGTTCTTATTGATCAGTGTCAGAGTTCAGACTGTCAGTGTGAGTTTTTACCTCGTCTATGCTGATTCCTTCACTCGGCTTCTCACTTTCTGCAGCCAGAACGGACGCTGACCACAGGCCCAGAGCCCCCGAGAGTCCGGCTACACCCCCCACCTGCTCCACATCCGCCGTCGCCATGGAAACACAACAGACACAGCCAATCACACTGATGTGCCAAGTTACCACACTGAATATGAACAGATGAGACACGGTGTCCTTATCACTGATCTCTTTCTGCATCATTAAACAATTAAGATGTAAACAAAGTCATTCAGAGCGGTTTGGTGTGGAGGTTTGGGATGGTAAATAAAATGTCTATATTTGTGTTGTAGACAAGATTTATTAATATTAATATATTTATTTATTCAAAGTGTTTTACAAAAATGACTCAGATTTCATCTTAAGAACGGTTGGTGAATGAGGCCCAATGTTCTTTTTCCAGTGAATCGGTTCTTCTCAGCACTCAGAGTAAGAGCTTCAGTTCGGCCATCTGGGCTTCGAGTGAGAGGCGACGCTCGATTTGTTTGAGGATCCGCTTGTTTGTTTTCTTTGCTGTCCAAGCTTTCAACTATATTATATATTAATAAAATAGAGAGCACACAAACAATCTGCAAGTCATCTGAAAAATATTTTAAAAATCTATGAATATGTATGTGAATATGTTTATAAAGTACGCATATCTGCAGTAAGTTTAAGTGCACTGACTGCAGTAGAGGAAAAGCTCCTGGTATTTATAGTGAACCATTTCACAGCAAATCACTCTGAATGACTGTTTACATCTCAACCACTGAACTATGCAGAAATTCTGGAAAACGGGTGGAATGCCCCTGTAAGTAAAATAGGGATGAGCAATACAATGATCGTGTGATTATCGTGATTATCTTTGTAATCGTGATAATATGGTTTTCTGAGTATATCGTGTGCATTGTAAGTAATTTGAGATCACTGACCAACCGCACGTTTCATTACACACATCATAATCGTCAAACTGTCTTTAAGTATCGTGATATACTGTCTTTTCCATATCGCCCAGCCCTGAAAGTTAAACAGCGAGCCTACAGGCTGATAGGTACATTTTTAAAGCACAGCGGCGACATCTGGTGGCCACAGACGGGAAGTGCAGCTAACCCGATTAGTGTCAAATTAGAGGGGAAAAATACTAGAAAAGGAAAATTAACAGGGTGAAAACTTGTTTACAGCACAGCGTTCCTTTAATAATGCATCCCATATATTTTACAGAGTTATATCTGTATTTTAAAAAGAGAAAAACTCAAATTTAGCCGCTTTAACTGACATAGCACGTGTTCAAATCTACATTTCCCCCAAATTGCGGGACATAAACTCGCATTATAACCATTTATAAACCTCTGGGATTAAATAAAGCTGAAAAAGGACTAAATGGGCTGAAAGTGAAGCTGTTTTCCTCATAAAGGGTTTAAAGTGTCCTTCACTGCTCCACTTCCCCCAAAGCAGAACCGGCGCGGAGGAAAAACGGGCGTATTTATTATAACCGCTTTAATGGAAACAGCGCAGGGCTCTCCGAACAGCAGAGTGATCAATAATATGATTGATAAGTTATGATTTATTAAACAGACGGTCTAAAGTTTCATTTCTCACCTTGTACATGTTCCGGCTTCCTCACTGCAGCAGCTGGAGCTGAAGGTGAGCGCAGTGCGGCGCTTATCGCCACCTGCTGGAGAACTGCGGCGCAGCACCAGCACAGAGGAAGAGTTTTAATTCACATTATTCATATTAAATAATCGTTTTTGCACATCCGACTGTATTTTTGTTTAATTTGGAACCGAAACGGTCCACTTAGGCATTATAAGACTCTATTTTCATGTTTGGCATATTTTCTACCTACATGTCTCGTTTCCTGGCAACAGAGACGAACCCAAACCAGCTCCTGCTGCTCAACAAGACCTGCAGGGTCTAATAATGGAATACGGGTGAGTTATAGATTTTAAAACCTGGCATTGTTTTCACACTGGAAAATAGTTTGGTAGGTCAGTGTTTTATCTTTCCAATGTGCTCCTCATGTATAAAGCACTTTGAGAAAATTTAAACTACTTTATAAAGTATATCAAAACTGAACTGCACTGAACTTAAATCAGGTTTTACAGTATTAGAGGCTTCAGCAAAGAGAATTGACTCTTTTCTGCCTCTTTTCTTCGGCCAGCACTGTGAAAAGAAGAAGTTTTGTCTGAATAAAGTCAGTAATGTGGTTTAAAGTCCACCGAATCTCCAGCAGGAACATATTCATGAGAATATAAAGAGACTAAATCAGGCTAAATCAGTTTTTCCACTTTATTTATTTGAATTAAACGTTTATTTGACTGATATGTCATATTAATAACTGTTACTCAGCCATTACCCTGCTGAAAAAATAACATGGACACCATTAAGTGTGTCTGTTGGTTCCTGATGGTTTTGTAATGGTTTTTAATGGGTTGATGGTTTAACAGGAGACCAGTGGCTGATTCTAAATGCATCTGATGGTTTCCTAATGGGATCTAAAGGTGTCCTACAGGGTCTCTACTGGAAATCATTAAGTCGATTCCCATTAGAAAGCAAAACCATGAAGTTTTAAGCCTGGTGGTTTCTCAGGGTCCTTTCTCAGGAGGGTCTTGTCTCAGGAGGGTCTTTTCTCAGGAGGGTCTTTTCTCAGTGAAGAGTGAAACATCATAAACTAGACGTCAGAATGTAAAGTGATGGTTATTTACAATTTAAAGCATTTTGGAAGAAGAAGCACAACAGAACGTTCTACCATGCTGAAATAAACAATATTGATTAATTAACTGATTAATGAATCTGTTTTTGTGCAGATTGGACTGTGAGAAACGTGAGAAATCGGCACGGAGAATCCAGGAGTTCTGGAGATCCTATCAGGACCGAAAACTCTTCCACCTTCTGATGAACACAGTACGCTCAGCGGTCAGTTCAGCTCCAAAACACCCTCCAAAACATCTGATAACTAAGTATTTAGGAACCACTGTGAACAGAATACTGAATAATTCATAGTAGATACTGAATAATTCATGGTAGATACTGAATAATTCATAGTAGATACTGAATAATTCATAGTAGATACTGAATATCATATTTATGTCTGTAATTCATTTATGTGTGTGTGTGTATCTGTGTGTGTGTGTGTGTATCTGTGTGTGTGTGTGTGTATCTGTGTGTGTGTGTGTGTGTGTGTGTGTGTATGTGTGTGTGTGTGTGTGTGTGTGCAGGAACAGTGTGTGACTCCTGCAGTTCTGCGTCAGTTCAGTCCTCTGGAGGCGAACCTGCTGACTGACCGCAGTCTGCAGTGTAAGGTCAGATTCAGGTACTGACCCACCGTCACTCGACGGCTCTGCAGAACCTTCCGTGTTTTAAAGGGAACCGACATTAAAATGAAAGTTCAGACAAATTGAGAGTCTCTTCTCCCCCAAACACAGCTGCTCTCTAGTTTTAGCTCTTGAGCTACGAGGCTAATGTAGCTCACAGGTAATGGAAGCTAATTCCCACCGATTAGCATGATGCTAACTGGATTTGTGTTGTTAAATAAACTCAGATTATGTGTTTTTTCTGTGACCTCATATTTAAAGTTCAGTACATATTCTGAATTTCAACTCTGCACCCTTTAAAATGGGTTCTTTAAGGGTTCTTGAGTAAAGGTAATGGTTAAGTATAGAACCATGAGAACTCAGGACCAGGTTGACTTTTTTGCATCATTGATGCGAATGATGGAGAACCTGTTGTACAGGCTTCTATGAAGTAACGTTTTAAAATGGTTCTATATGTATCAAAAATGTTCTGTTGTTGTTAGGTCTCGAACCTTTTTGGTATTATATAGAACCTTTTTTGCTAAGAGTGTGTTCTGTTGTTTAGGTTCTCCGGGCCTCAGTTCCCACCTGTTATCGTGTTTAAGATCTTCCACACGGGCCGAGGGCGGCGCTACCTGTCCGGGAAAAAACTCTTCAGGCCGTCCAACCAGGTGAGTCCTTCACCTGACAGGTGTACTGACCATACACGCTTAGAAAGATGGTTCTTCAAGGGTTCTTTAGTAAAGAGAATTGTTCTATGTCCACGCTTTAAAAGGATGGTTCTTCAAGGGTTCTTTACTAAGGGAATGGTTCTGTATACATCCTAAAAAGATGGCTCTTTAAGGGTTCTTTAGTAAAGACAGTGGCTCTATATAAATGTTTTAAAACAGTGGTTCTTCAAAGGTTCTTCACTAAAGGGAATGGTTCTCTATACATGCTTTAAAAACATTGTTCTTCAAAGGTTCTTTAGTTAGGAGAATGGTTCTGTATGCATGCTTAAAAAGATGGTTCTCCAAAGGTTCTTTAGTAAAGAGGATGGTTATGTACAAATATTCGCACATCTCTTTAGTATTCAATATCAACTACTGAATTATTTAGTTTCCACTGTGATTTATTTAGTATCTACTATGAATTATTCAGTATCTACTATGAATTATTCAGTATCTAATAATGAATCTCTTAATTTAATGCTTGTTATCAGTCTGTGTGTTTGTCTGCTCTGGTCACTGTGCTACACGTCCTCATATGTGTAGCGTATTTGCCGAAATAAAGTGAATCTGATTCTGACTCTGGCTCTGGTTCTGGTTCTGATCCGGATGTGTCTGCACAGGCCACTGCAGACTCCTGTAGGATGATGGGGAACAGGAGGTTTATGGAGCTGCTGATGGAGGACGAGGATCAGTGGCATGGCCGAGAGATCTCAGACCCCATAGACATCACCTGCATGAGAGACTACGTACAGGTGAGAACACACACTGCTGACGCACCCAGCAGGTTACAGTGCTATTCTGACGGAGCCCCTCCTGCTTTAAAGGGTCTGTATACATTGTTCTTGCGTTTTTCCCCCCTGAGGTCCACTTATCAACGTGCGTTCTTGTGTGTTCTAGCTCCCTTGTGTTCAAGAACACATTTACCAAGTTAATGTACCCGGATGCGTTCTTGCTCTGCCCCCAAAACCGAGGACGCATCGGTTGGTGACTTGCCGACAAGAACTTACAGAAAGACCCAGCAATCACTGCAGCGTCATCGTGCCGGCGGAGCAGACTGACCCACAGCTGCGCATTTATAGTTCTCTTTTTAGAGAAAAACGCTGCTCTGAATAACTCAAAATGAGGCGCAAAATAGACATTAAAGTTGTCAGTACCACTTTAAAATAAGACCACCCTTATAAAGCGTTCATTAATGGTTTGGGCTTGAAATGTGTTTATTAATGGTTATTAATCAAGTCAAAGTTTATTTATGTAACAGTTTTTACAACAGGTGTTGTCACAAATAGCTTTACAGAAAAATCCAGGTCTGAGCCCCCATGAGCGTCGCCAATGACGACAGTGGCAGGAAAAACTCCTTAAGAGAAGGAGGAAGAAACACTGAGAGGAACCAAGACTCAAAAGGGGAACCCATCCTCCTCTGGTCAACACCGGATAGCAAACAGCTTTAGAATAAAATATTCCAATACAAAAACAGGGAAAAACAGGTGGAGCAACGGTTAATTAGATAGATTGAGTTTATGCTGCAGCAGCAGGAGGGTCAGTTCATGAGGGTGAGGTCTGCACAGCTTTGTACAGCATGAAGCTCAATGGTGGTCAAAACGGTGCAGATCAGCCAATGGAGATGGAGCTCTGGTGACTCTAATCAGGTCCTAAAGACCTTAAAACCATTAATAAGCAGTTACAACACATAAATAAAAGGTCAGTAGTGACCTGTTGGTCCAATTGTGATTCTTCATTCATATATACACTGTTAAACCTCAGATTTCGATGTTTACCAGTCTGACTGTGTTTTCATCATCAGTCAGTATTAAACTGATCAGCTTTATCACATATTTATAATCATCAGATATCACAGCACACTTCTGCTCTTTTTATGAATGTGGTATAACCGCTTATTAATGGTTTTCAAAGCATTTGAGACATAATAACCATTACCAACTAATTTTAAACCATTAATAAACGCTTTATAAGGGTGATCTAATTTTAAAGTGGTACCAAGTTGTCACATCTTTGCTGATTTGGTTCCAATAATACCTGATATGAACGTCTGCTTTGACAGGTCATAGGTTTGAGACTCCATTTAGATCAACAGTACCAGCTGTGGGAGCCTTAGCCAAGTTAGTAATGGTCGAGGCAGAATTTGGGCCGAACCGATGATGAACTTGAATGATGGAGTTGTGTTTCACTCTAATATGTTTATTAAATTATTTGCTGCGCAGTGTAAATGTGTTGATTTATATTATTAAGTTGTTCCTTTGGTGTTTCACCTTTGTAACATCAGCCTCTCGGCCCCTTAGTAATACTTTAACCACCTTTAAATTAAGAGTAACTGTCAAACCCTCTCAGAAATAAAGCACTAGACTGTCACTGGGTCAGCACCCCTCCTGTCACTGGGGTGGGACCCTCAAGGGTCCATCTCAGTACTTTTAGTCAGGCCAGTCTGAGTGTTCATGGTTCTATATAGAACCATTTTCTTTACTAAAGAACCTTGAAGAAGCATCTTTTTTAAGAGTGTAGAACCTTTTTGAAAAGCGTTCAATATATAGCACCAAAAAAGGTTCTTCTATTGGTACAATGTCAAGCTTGTTACAATAGAAGAGCCCTTTTGGTGCTGTGTAGAACCATCTACGGCACATTCTCCATCAGTCTGAAGAACACTTTCATGATGCAAAGAACCCTTTAATCATGCAAGGGGTTCTTTGAGTGTTCATGGTTGTACACAGAACCATTTTCTTAACTAAGAACACTTGAAGAACCATCTTTTTATGAGTGTATATATATATAGAACCAGACTCAACACATTCTCCATCAGTCTGAAGAACACTTTCATGATGCAAAGAACCCTTTAATCAT